TAACAGTGGACTATATGCTTATATGTAATTATACTAATGTGCAATAGAAAACGTTTGGCAACTAAGCCACCTTCAAAAGATTGATATTTTTTATGTGTTCTAGGTTTGCATGTCCTGCTAATAGGATGATATCATAGATGATATGCAGAAATTGGCAAACTGTAACAATCTCAAATCTCAAGCGCCACCAAGGTTTTAAAAGTATTTTGAGCTCTGTAGTGAAAATTCTATACCTATTTTGGTTGCTTACATGTACATGTAACTTGAATATTGCCATTGTCTTTCAGAGGTTACTCTTAAAGAGAAGATGAAGACTGCCAATGCAACAGAAAAACTTGCTGAAGAAAATCACAAAGAAGCTTTGAGTCATGCAGGAGGTAAGAAAAAGACAAATACTATGTCCTTTTCTTTGTTAAAACACTCTCAGCTGATGTACCCTACTAAAAATCATTTTTTAGCATTGTCAACAGTGCTAGCAAAGCAGTTCATTCTTCCCACCATCCCAGTTATCAAACTATAAATTAACTAGTGTAATGTAGGGAGAGAGAGCAGAGTGCAGTAGAGTAACCTTTATTCAAACTGGATAGCCCTGTCAGCCATCATGAACTGACCTTCCCAAAGGTCAATGAGGGTTGGCAATAGATGTTTGGATAGACTAACCTGTGTTTTACTGTATATGACTACTAAACTAACAGGGTGTTTTTTTTTCTCATTTGGGTACTAAGTATAACATGCATTTATTTTGTATATCTGTCCATTCAGTGCTATTCAACTATTGTGCTTGTATCTGCCACAATATGTTAAGCATTTTCTATTCCCTTTTACAAGATTAATACTTACATCCCAAATACTTTAGTTCCTGTTTCAGTGGACGACATCAAAAGGTGGCAGAAGATGGAGAAGGAAGTGATGTCAAAGAAGGAACGAACATCAAGTGAGTAAAAAGCTGTAATTGGATTGTTTACACCAAAAAGTTGCAGCCTACGAAACCAGTTGGCCATGGAACTGTCTCATGTATATGACAAGTAACATACAATGTAAATGTATACCATAATTTATCGCTAAGTATGTTTATGTAAAAGTGCTCTTTTTTTTCTTTTAGCATCAACATGCAAGTGGAAGAAAGAGTATGCAGGAAAGCGGATGAGGCATCAGGCATTGGGTAGGCTATATTTCTAGTGCTCTTGTGTATTGCTTCACATTAGACAGCCAAATATATTTACCTACACAAATTTGTCAGTCATGTATAAGTAGATATTTGCAAACTGAAGCTTCGAAAGGCTGACCCACAGGACAGAATCAGCTGGAGAGCAGCAATCAGGCCACGGCAACATTCCACTTCCAACCCTCGAGCAATGAGGACCATGAGACATTAAACGGATAGTGAGTGTATGTGAGTATACTAAGAATTAAGAAGTACAATCTTTTGTACCTGCAGGGAGAAAATCCAAGAATGCCAGGATGAGTCTGCACTTGCAGTTCACCTTGCAGCTTTCACTAAGTGAGTATAAGTTATGATATTAGACTTGAATATCTTGTAACCCTTCCTGAACGAGAAGTATGGTAGGTACACTTCCTTATATTAAGACAGACTAGACAGTAGCACTTTTGCCAAAAGTCCATGATTATGTGAGCCATTTCAATAACACCAAAAGTTTTGGTGTTATTGAAATGGCTCACATAATCATGGACTGGAAAACGGTATATACATTTGTAATTCCACTTACACAATTGCTTGTTTCTCATATGCAAGATGACAGTTGTGAGTACTATCATAATCATAATTATAGATATGTAATATTATAAATGATTTTTGCCTGAGCAGATATTTATTGATAAAAAATTTTTCATTCATTTCCTCATAGTCACAAACTTTTTTTCTTTCCAACACTACATACTGGTACATCTCAATCTGCCACTTGCTAGTTTGATATTACTAGTCTTCAATATCACATCTGATTCAATATCAGAGCTACATTTTGTAACAAGCAACATGACTGATTTCCAGTGGCTGCTGGCAACAAAGGGAAATTTCCCTACAAGACCTACAGTGCTGAGGAAGGAGGCATCACCGTGCACGGGCTGCCGGAGGGGACCTCTGTTCGCCACATCGCCTCACTTGGGAAGGAAGGCCTTCAGAGGATCCTTCAAGAACAGGATAAAATAACAGTAGAAGGTAAGTTATTTAAGATATTGATCAGTATATCTACTGCACATTATAGCAAGGTCTTATTACAGATACATGTAATTCTATGTACTAGAGCTAGAGATAACTTCAACCTTAAAAAGTCTAACATTCTTTCTACATTGCATACTTTGTAATGGATAGGACTCCATGTAGATGATTCCATCAAGACACATTGTTATATTAGAAACACTTTAAATCATGCAATCATGATCATTCGCTGTCCCTGGTAGGCGGGTTAAAAATGCAAAAAGTCACCAGATCAAAGCTTTTCACTATCAGTATTATGAGAATGTATAACTTTTCAGTTCACAGCACACCTGCAAACAGCACATCCACTGCTGGGACATCCTCGACCACAGGTGCAACCAGTACGAGCAGTGAACCAGCTCCTCAGACCCCGGCTGCTGTACCCAACCCATCATCCCCTGGTGCGAGCAGCACATCTGCAAGAAGAGCTACCGGTACGTGTTACAAAAGTACTCATATCACTTGACAAGGCAATAGAATCTGACAGATTATACACTGTAAAAAGTATAATTATCTGCTTGTGATTATCATATTTTATTGAGGGTGGATGGTAATGATGGTAATGATGGTTACATACAGTCTTAGACTAGTACATTTAGTAAAATAGTCACTTGAATGAAAATAGATTATTAAGAATTGATACCTTTGATGAAGAAGTGAATGAAAAGTAATTGTATTTAGCTGTAAACTTGTCATCTATTGATTATTGATATTGATTAGTATTGAACGTGATAGCAATGATGGTTTAACACCCAATTCTGAGCCGAAATAAATAACATCATGCAGCTATAGTATATGATTAGTAGTGTTTGTACAATTTGTTTTCACAGCACCACATCCTGGTCCAGAAGAGATCCTCCTGGCGATTCAGGATGGCTTTGTTCTGCCACTTGAAGACAATGCAGCAGACAATGTCGGAGGAGGAGAAGAGAAATGCAAGAGAAAGGGGAAGGGAAACGGGAGGCGAAAAACAAGGAAGGGGAAAACAGTGAAGGGGAAGGGGAAGGCAGACACCTACCACCCGGTGGAAGCACTACTGGACAAAAGAGTGAACAACAGCCAGACAGAGTACCTGGTGCACTGGGCAGGGTATGATGTATCGGACAGCTCGTGGGAGCCAGAACACTATATCCCACAGTCAATAAGGGACCACTTTGAGGAGCACTAAAATACAAGATGATATAAGATGGTACTACAGCGTTGACACTTTAACTGTTACTGTAAGTCTTTCTAGAATTTTTACTGTATTGATTTATGTTCCCGACTTCATGCACCAGGCATCAATTGACTGTTAGAATCCTGTATTCCAAAAGGTCTGAACACAACCAAATCAGTAGCTAGGAATAAAAAAATTCATGCAAATATATAATGCATTGCTTTTGCCATGTGCAAACACAGCCTAAGGTTCCTCATATATTTCCAGTGTCACAGGATGCCTATTTTTTTAGATGTATCTGAAAATTTAAATACTAGTAGTTTTCATCAACATATTGCTGTTTTTTACACATAGATTATGATGCTTCCCCAGTAAGAATTTGAGTATAAGGGTGTTTTTTGTTTAAGATTTCTTCTTAGGTGTGCATGGACAGGTGTTAATTTGTTTTTGGCTTGTTTTGTTTTGACTTTGTAGTATTCTCATGCATATATGTTCAAAGTACTCATCAACAACTAATACATGGTAATGCATCAAGCAAGAAACATTGAAATGCTCAGACTCTATCATTCAAGCATGACCCCCATGCAAAAATGGATCATGCTTAAATACCACCACCTGCAAAAGTTAAAGTATTATTCTAAAGTTTGCTTGTAAAATTTTTCAAGCTTGCCTCTCCCAGCAGAATGCACCATTGATTCCAGAACAAATCCAGGGTTCTCACCAGGATTTTTCACAGCATAGCGGGTCAGGTACAGAAGGGCAACTTTCATGGCACAAGTGGTGCATTGATTGAGCCAAAAAAGTGTCTGGCGGATCATGAATGTCAAAATTTTTGTGAATTTAATGTTTTCCCTTTGCTGTAGCTTCATTCTAAAGTTATATTTTTCATTTTTTTCGCAATTTTTTCGTAAAAAAACTACCCATATGCTGGTTGAAAGACAGTATAGGGATCCAAATCACCATGAGCATATTAGAGGGTTGGTTCAAAAGGCCTGGCGAGAACACTGCAATCGAGCAAACGCAAACTATTACAAAAGAATGAACACTTATTGGCAAATAGATAAATTCTGGAAACAAATTACTCTGTTCCTATTCAAAGACCGTCCCTTACCAAATTTGTAGCATTATTCTTTGAGTGTCCTTGAACACCTGACATGTGACATGATCAGTTGTCCATCAAACAAGCACTCAGAGACTCAGATTTCAGTGTTTTTGTTAAGCTTTATTTATTATACATGTGGTTGTGTGCACTGATATCTATTATGAATCATACTGTTTATCAAACTGGTCTCTCTGTGGTAATAAAAGTATCTGTGGTAATAAAAGTGCTTCCATTACGTATACTGAGGTACTCATTGTGTGTATAATGTCCTTGATTATACTAACTGAAGTAATAGATAACATACACTTTTGCAATGTATGATCACACACTTACTTGTACTTACTTGTACTTGTATGATCACACACACTGTAATAAAATAAAATAAAGTACAGCATGGATTGTAAACAAGACAGATGCAAACAAACCATTCCACTATTTTGGGTAGATGTTACATAAATCATGTGTTACATAAATCATGAGGTGTACAAAAAAGTTTAAGAAAAGTTTACTGAGAGTAATGCACACAACATGTGTTATTAGTTATTGTCATGCCACCTACCCTACGGCATAGAAACTATATTGCATGTATCTGTCTTTAGTCAAATCTTCTAAAAAGGCAAAGCAAAAAAGATAAAGTCCAACTTTAGTGAACATATCCAAAGTTAAAGCAATCTCCAAGCAGATGTTTCGGGAACCTCAATCAAATTGGCCAGGCAGTATCTATCATTAGCCAGACAATATCCATTGGCCCCTCAATGTTGGGTGGCCAATGTTTGGCTAATGGATACTGTCTGGCTAATTTGATACTGTCTTTTGTGGCCATCAAAACATCTGCTTTGAGATTACTAGTAGTAGAAAGTCCCATGTGAAACATCCCAAATTGGGCTGTTCACATTCAAGAAAATATGTTCAAATCAATTCAAACTTTGATTTAGATCAATTTATGCGAACATTTTTGCCATAAAAAAATGATGTGATTCACATGGATCACAGGCATCCATTTTTAGGTTTTAAGCAGATCAGTTCAGTTTGAATGAGATATCAGGATCATTCTTGTTGGCTAAAAATAAACCGCTAAATTTCTTATGATGTTGCCCAGTGTTTGTGAAACAAAAGTAGATTGAGGTTGTGTGGCATAGCGGTAGCATGTTTGGCTCAGACCCAAGAGGTCCCACGATCTTGTGTCCTTGGGAAAGGCACTTTACATGACTTTCCTCACTTCACTCAGGCGTGAATGAGTACATAGCTTTGGTTAGGGGCGTCCCTCGGATAGGACGTTAATGGAGGTCCCGTGTTTGGGGAGAGACACACCCCATGTGCGAACCCACTACACCAATCTAAAAAGAGTAGGGGACCTTCCCCGTATGTGGTTCAAACCATGTACAGGGATGGGCAATTTCCAGGCATGCACCGACTTTCTTCCTCCCCATGCCAGTACTAGTGCAGGCATGATAGTGCTCCAGACCCTTCACTGACGTTTGCCGATTCCTTTTTCAGGTAAGGGAGACATGACATGGCTAGAAAATGATGGCTACATAGTATGAAGTCAAAATGAAACGAGCATAACAGAAGATACACACTTAGCATATCATTAGCATATGGTAAAATCGTCTCGCGAAACCTTTCTCTTTAGACCTAGCAGGAACAGTTTCAGGCCCCCCGCTGAATGTGGAGGTGGTTTCGGAAACGTTTCCTAAAAACCCACTAAAATACCGTTTTCCCCTATTTTAGTACGGTTAGCCCATCGGAAACGTTTTTCCACCCCAAAACCCTTTAAGCCTTTCTAGCCTATTAAAAGTGAGCCTAACAATCTGGTCTCAGGTTTGACATCTAGAAGAGGTGATAGTCACATGTCAATCCACCCACAAATGTTGTAAAGCTTTATAAATGAAGGAATAAATAAAAAGCACAGTCTCCTGGCTGACCGGATTCAGGCCTTTGTCAATGTGGGCCTAGTCAGCTCATGAACACATTACACACTAACCACAAGGCTTAAATGCCTGGAACAGTAGGACTGATCTGATGGGGAGCACTTCAACCACACTACACTTCTTTGGCTAGTGGTTTGGATTTGTCACTTTCATTCCCATGGTCTGGGTACGATTCCCAGTATGGAAACCACTGAAACACAAAGGGTTGTGTAAGTGAGCTTCCTGACTACCAGGATTGGAACCGAACCCAGGCTGTTAAACCCACTGCACTAACCACGTGCACAAGGCTTATAGAGTCCCGGCTGCTAAATCGGTTTCTCTAAATCGGCACTAAAAACGACCGGACTGTTTTTTCCACTCACAAATCGGACTGGGCTGGTTTTTCCGCCGATTGGACTGGACTAAGTTTTCCGCAAACCCGCGGCCGTCGGCCATTATGAAATGTACACGCGAGGCGGCCGAGGTCGCAGCGCACATTTTGCCGAAAAAAAGGGTACTTAGAAAGCTTGTAAATAACGGAAACTTAGCAGAAATTCAGGGCAGTCCTATATGAACATGTTTGTGGTGGTGGATTTTGCCAGCGTTTCGTGAGGGCCGATATTTTGCAAGGAGTAGTGGGCATTCGCTTCAAACCCGGAAGTGGGTATTCGCTAAGAAGAGGAAAAACCCAGTAAATTTCGTTTATTTAAGTTCAGCTCGATGGATTAGCTTCAAACTTGGTCCGAACACGCGGGAGCATACTCTGGACATGACCACAAAAATTAACATTCGTGCGATAATTCCTGGGCGTTCGCTAAAAAGAGAAACCCCTGCTAAATTATGGACTGGTTGAACCCCAGTATACAAAGAGACCCCATTTAACTGAGCACTGTGGCAGGTCACGGGCCTCAACCGAAAGTAACTGTAATAAAGCTAACTCATTGAAGGTCTAGAGTCTAGGAAGAACTGGATCATATATTACCTACAGGCGACAGAATCTCCACGATGATGAAGGCGGTAGCTATATAGCTAGCCCCCCTCCCCCTCGAGCCCTCAGCTCTGAGCGATAGCTAGGGCGCCAAAGGTTTTGAAAAAAGCACATCTGAACTCTATTTGCTAAATCTAGTACTTTAAAACTGTAAAAACATAGTAAAAACAATATACTTACATTCACTTTCTGGTCATATTCAGGTCCAAAATAACGTAATACTTTGCTTTTTGTAGCATATTCCTTTGGTAGCGCGCCACTGGCAGTAGCCATACAGGTCACACAACATGGTGACCCATGAACCCCAGGGTGACCTCAAGGACGGACAGGTACTCGATTACCCACCGAAAAACACCACACACACCCACACACACACCATACATCCATCTCTTCCATCCAGATCTAAGTGAAATGGTGTCTCTCATGAGCCAGGAGACGTCTCCTGGCCCACTTATAAGTGCAACATGGTGGCCACCATGTTCCACTTGTAAGTGAAAATGGTGTTTGTAACGGGTGTTTTTTGCGAAAATTAGTTTGAGGCTTTCATTTGATTTTTTTACGGTATCGCTCAATGCAAGGCCAATTATATTTGGCCACTTCTAGGCATAGAGCTAGAGGTACTTAGAGGAGTATATTATAGCTATGTCATGAGACGGCGGTGGACCTTTGTTTGAAGCTTTGTAGATTGTAATCGGACGGAAAGCAGCTGTTTGGAAGACAGTTCCATAATTTTGCAGTCCGGGGAAAGAAGCTGTTGTTGTAGTATGACTTGGAGACAGGTATGTTAACGGTGTATTGATGAGAACTGGAAGAGAACCTAGTGGCACGCTGAAAGGTTCTGAGTGGAGGAACAAGAAGTACAAGTTCTCCTGAACATCGACCGTGAAAGTATCTGTAGAAGAGGGATAGAGATGCGACATTGCGTCTGTGTGAGAGGGAATCCAGCTTTGCGGCCAGAGAATGGCCGATGGCAACACAGATTCTCCTTTGAATGCGGTCTAAAATATGATACCAAAACAACCCCATATCTTGCAAATAAGAATGTGCATCACCGATTTCTTTGTTTGCTTTGGGAGTTTGGATCTTTGTATAATGTACTTTGGAATGCAGTTCTCTTTTCCGTTTTATGTATGTCTAGACTCTGAGTCTATCTGCTGAAACTAGACGCCTAAAAGGATGGAAATACCAACAGAACAAGCTTTACCCTACATCTTCTTGGAGATTGCCATTTTATTGATGCTAGCCTTTATTTTGGGACTGTTTCTTTCCACTTAACTATTATATCTGTTGACCGCATTTAATTATGGTTGTTTGTTTATTTGTTACCTTGCATTATGTTTTATTAATTCACTCTCGAATGCACATTATTTGTGTGTGTGTATGTACATTGTAATTTATATTCTTGGGACTAGGCACACCCAACCACACATGTTACATGCGTACACTGACACACAGGTAAAAAATCACAGATGCATATTTAACCATAATAGTCTCTGTTTATTGTAGAAATAACAAAAAAGCGCAACATCTTAAGCATTCTTAACAACACCAGTCTCAATGACAGACAGCAGATATAACAGTGTTGGTATTAAACTGTTTTTAAATTGTTAGACTCTTGATTGTCACCAGGGTCTGAACTACATGTACAATCGTACTTCAACATTTAACTCCCTCTGAATCAGATGTTACTTTTCCTTTGCATGATCTTTAACATCTCACTCTAGTTCGTTAGTCAAGCCTTTAAGGCAAAACTCAGGTTCTTGACAAGTTACATGTTCTTTAAGGCGTCCATGACATATCCTGGTAACAAAATGTCTGCTATTGTCATTGATGTACAATTGAAATTCTTTTCAACAGAACGTGTATGTATTATGGTTTTCTGTGTGAACTGTTACTCACAAACAAACGTTTCATGAGATGTTACTTCGTATCGCATATAGTTGATCATGTTTTAAGATAGTAACAAGTGCGTATATACCTCAATATTATGATGGTCCTTCCTTTTTGATGTGTAAAGACATTTTAACTGTACAGACTGGGATCTAATTTTAACTTACCGTTACCTATTTATAAAGACTTGAAAAAACAAAAACAATTAAATCCTAAAATGGGTCTCAATGATGAACATCAACACACTCCATGTGTAGATGTTTTACACAAGTTTCAGACAGATGAAACTGACAGTCTCTCCTTTAAGATGTTATTGGCATTGATCTTAGGGCCACAAGGTAAGACATTTTCTAGTCCGCATCTATCACTGTTCCGATTCTTCTGCTCACATGATAAAAGTGTTCCTCACTAACGATATGGACATCCTACTTCATTGTGTTAACGTACCCATTACATATACATGTTTTTATCACCTTTCTGGTGAGGTAATCTCCACGTAGACAATAGACTCTGTCTTGTTTGACATGTCTTACATGTTTGTAACTACGATTTTCTAGTAGTGTGATTTTTCTTTTGTTTGCCTTCACCAAATGATCATGAAGAAAAACAGACAAAAACATGCTCTACAAAAAGATGTACAAAAGGCCAAAAAAGACAAGGAAAACAAACCGGAGTATCACATCTGCTTGTAGATTACATAAGAGGAACATCATGGTGTTACTGGTTCGACGTCATCACTGTTGCTCAGCCAACTGGTTTTTAACTGCTTTAAGTTGATAAACTGACTGAATGTCTTACTTCCAAAGGTGTTGTTGATTTTTAGTAATGCTTTCTCTTGTTATAACTGTATTTCAGCTGGTACAATCGGTCTTGTTTTTTAAGGGAGGCTTTATGTGTTTCTCGCAGTATTCAACGACTTGACTGGGCAGCCCCTAACATACACACTTCAAAACTTTAAGTCTTACATAACATATTCTAATGGCACAGCGTCTACCTCTATGACAGAATCACAATTCCTTCGTGTAGCCTTCCAAAGTTGGGAGTCTAGACTTTAAACGCTTACTTACCATATTTCAGGACATTAATTTTCAAACGCACAATTTCTTTTCATATCCAGTTTACACAATCAAAGTCTTTGCAATTTGTCACCAAGGAAACTTGGTATGATTCTGTCATCAGAAGGACATTGTGTGCCTGTTTTTAAACAGGTGATTATAAAAAAGGAAAAAAAAAGTCATAAGTATTCTATAATGGCACAGCGTCTACCTCTATGACAGAATCACCATTTCTTAAAACCTTCTTTTAAACATGCTGGAAAATTAGTGTTTTCAATTTTTCACCAAGTAAACTTGGTTGGATTCTGTAATCAGAAGGACATTCTGTGCCTGTATCTAAACAGATGATTATACAAAAGCAAAACACACACACACACACCAGTATTCTATAATGGCACAGCGTCTACCTCTATGACAGAATCACCATTTCTTAAAACCTTTTACAAAAATGCTAGAAAACTCAGAGTGTTGCAACTTTTTCACCAAGTAAACTTGGTATGATTCTGTCATCAGAAGGACATTGTGTGCCTGTATCTAAATAGTTGATAATAAAAAGCAATACAACTATGCATATTCTATAATGGCACAGTGTCTACATCTATGACAGGATGTATGACCAATTGAAGTATTCAGAAGAAAATCCACGATCTAAATGTAGCCAATTTGTCACCAAGTATAGTTGGTATGATCCTGCCATCAAAAGGACATTGTGTGCCTGTATCCAAATATCAATTCAAATGAAAAACACAAAACAAATTTTAAAAAAATTCTTATATAACAGTGACTGAAATCAGGAGTTACCTATACAGGGCTAGAATGTGCAAATACATTCAACAGCTCATGATAATGGAAAGGTAAAATTTAAAGAAAAAAGTGTTAAAGAGTTTTTATAGGTTTTCTGCCAAGTACATATAACACCATGACTTCAGTCTGATCAGCCTTCGTTACAGTTCTTTAGTACAAAGACTGGATAGTTTCTTGAAGACAATCTCAAGGATCTCAAGGCTTCATCGAAGTACGTAGCAGACAAGCATAAGCTGATAACGAGTGCATAAGTAAACTGCACATGTTCTTAGATGAGCATTGTGAAGACATTGCAATGATAATGTTTCATTAACCATGAAAACTGCATTTTATTGATGATATCTAATAGAGTTCCCAAACCTGGCACCAGAATGTAAAAAAAAAGGCTTGGCCCGAAAGATGGTAAGAAGTAAGAAACAGTTTTCTGGCTACTCTAGAGAATACAAAAGTAAAAAGTACTGATAAACTAGATTCCCACATTCTCATACCTTCGCCAAATGATGTTGGCCTTTCTGACTAAGAAATTATAGATTAATCCACCTGATTGAGCAATTAGGATTCTCAATTGCATGAATTAGATATGTTGATTATATTCTGCACAAAAAGACAGTCATATCGTAACAAAGAATGCCATTATAGCTTTTGCTCATTAATTATGAAAATAAAGTCTTTATTTGAATAGTTAATGTTTAATGATGTTCACCTTCACTTAACTTTTGAATGCTTTCCTTTCTTTGTCTGCACTTAAATCTTAAAGGGAATGGTGTATGCGTAAAAATGGCATCATTCATAATTAAAATGGAGGCAAGGAACAGCCCAGAATAGAAATTGTCAATATCGCAGATGTCATGCATAACATCTAGGTTTTTTGTTGACGACAGCACGTGGAAATTGATTGATTAAGTAGATATGTAAGTACATAGGAGCATGTGCATAACAAAAATGGATATGCCAGTCACAGGACGATTCACCATGTTGTCAGGAACTGGTCTGGTCAGTACAATCCTGTTAGAATGAAAAGATGGCTATAAGTGGAAGTGCACCACACAAATGAGAAAATTTGACATATTCTAATATGAATTTCCTTAATCGTTTCAGATGCCTTAATTTATTTTAAGTTCTTTGGATTTGATTCATTATTACTCAATCTTACTATAGTAATTTAAAACAATGGGACTTATAAATTTCTGCAAATGTTTTATTATGTGATTCTCAGCGTGCCTTATATCTGGTAGAAAAAGTTCTTATCATAGGTACACTCACCATAGGGAGTTTTCTCACAGATGAAATATCTATACCAGCCAGAACAGTCGCCGTCGTTCCACTTGTCTGCATGATAGCCTTTATTATGGTTAAAATACTCTGCACAGCCTTCAACCATTAAGTATTGACCCAGCCAATTTTTCCCCCCGTAATTTGGCTCGTCTGGTGCCCAATACTTGAAAGACCCGAGAGGCGTGCCATCATTAAATTTCCATTGTTTTTTTTTGGCCTTATCGTTCAATCCAAACCAAAAAGGTTGCGATGTGCTCGCATCATTTTTCAATTTAAGCAAGAAGCTGTTAGTGCTGTGGTCCTTAGGCATTGCAAGCTCTCCACCTGCTCCCTGCTTTTGGCAATAGGCACGTGCGTCATTCCAGTTTTTTGAACTTTTAAATGCTTTGTAGCACTTTCTGTTCTTCGGTTGATAACTGGCATCGCATGTACCTATAGGAAAATATGTTAATGTGTGTTACAACATTACGGAAACAGTTCATTATTGCGGGCATGATTGTTCAAGTCAGAACCTCTATTATGCAAGTAGAATAATTATACAGGCACTGTGTTGTTACACAACAGTTACAACAAAGACATTTTAAAACTGATACCTGACAAAATTCAACACGAGGTGATTTTGCATGCAGATTTTCCTCGGCAAAGATCATTTGATGCATATATTATCACAATATTGTCCTTGCTGGGAGAAAATTACAGAACAAACATACGTGCCAAACAATCCCAGTTTAAGATTTGAATTTATGTTAGAAATCATGCTTAACACTTTTATGAAACTTACCATAATCAAGATATTTTTGCAGGCTTTCTTTCAAATCGTTAAGCTCTCTTTTCCCCTCTTGTACCTTAGCTGGAATATCACTTTCACGTCCCTTAATTCGCAGAGCTGTAATCCACGCACAATATCCACCTCCGATCAGTCCGTAGATCTGCGCAACTTTGAGTCGCATCTGCACGTGAAAATTAGCATGCATTACTCGTTACTATAGACAAGGTCTAAACCATGCCAATCAACACAACTATAACCTCTTATTTCTAAGCCAATTATTAATTTGTGGCCTTCATCTATATGCTATGTTTATGCTAGAAGGTGTCATTTGCCATTGTGCTATTAATCTTAATATTCCAAACCAGACCTGGGTAATTGGGAATCAGGGATTGGGTTAATTTCTAAATATGTACTGTGTGTGTATTTACTAAAAGATAACAAATACTTAACATAACTAGAAAGGCCAATATTTGCTTTGGAGCAAATACAGCGATGGGTTCACCACATTTTACGACATGGCAGGGAAAGAATGAGAAACACAAGGGAAAACAATGATTTACATTGATATAACTATAATATGAAGTAAAATACAACTAAAACAACAGTTGGATAGCTATTCCCTACTTTATTGGTTAGGATTTTTAATTGCATAATGCAAACTGTTGATTTTCAAAATAAAAACAAAAACGTCCATGCCCCGCATTCCAATGCTGGAGCAGGAAAGCTTGAAATACCTACAAAAACACTTGAATACAGACATACTGTCAGTATGGAAATGCTCTGTGCAGGTGTTAATCAAGTTAAATCCCAACAGCCAATCAGCAAGAAATGCTCTGTGCAGGTGGAAATGCTCTGTGCAGGTGTTGATCAAGTTAAATCCCAACAGCCAATCAGCAAGAAGAATAGAGGAAAGCTGCATGCCTATTGGTTGATGCCCTGCATTCCATTGTGATGACTCATGCCCAAACGTGGTAAACAAGGCACACTAACACAGTAATACATTTGCTATAACACAGCCAAAAAACTCAAATAAAACCATTCTAAAAGCCTGTATCACAATAATTTAAAAACGCCTAGGGGTATTTGCCCACTGTACCTCCGTACCAAATTTCAGGACCTTGGGCCCTAAAATGAAGAAGCTGAATCCATTTAAAAAATGGCAGGAGAAGAAGAAGGAGGAGGAGGAGAAGAAACATCAGAAAAAGCAATATGGGTTCACCACCACTTCGTGGTGTGGTGAACCCATAATTAACATAAAATTACTTTTATTGACATTTTTTTACAGGGAGCAAACTAGGATAAATTACTAGATAGAAAAAGTAGTGAAATCATAGAAATACATGGTTAGCAGTGGTTTTGAACTGTGCAAGTCGCAAGTCGACCTGAAGTAAAAAAAGGAAAATGATGCATACCTTTATCATATCCTGTTCCAGGTCTCCCCTTTCATTATTCATTTGTTCACGATATACTTCGAACAGAGATTTTCCACCAAAGAGTGATGAGTGTGGCTTTACCATTTCCATCAGATTTAACAATATCTGCAAAAGTACAAGACAATAAGTTGAAGCAAACATACTACTGAGGAGCCTGGTGATTCATTTTCAAGTCGCTGCGGATGGCTTTATAATCATTTGGCTACCGATCCTTTGTTTACAATGACCATACATCACACGAACATCGTGCTTTAAAGAGCTTAAAAGAAATATTTAAATGTGAAATTAGAAAAGACATAGAACAGAATCAACCACCTTTAAGCTATTTTAACTTTAATCTTTCATGTGTATGCATTACCGTGCATCTCAAATGAAGAACACATCTAGATGAGGCAACAGAGGTAACTTGTTTATGACAATAATGTGACTAGGACTGGGGCGTTCTTCTGACAACCATGCGGTCACCGACAGAAAACAGCATGGCCCATTGGCAACTGTTACGTGAATTTTCTCTTCTTAGTTTCTGATGAAATGTGTACTTACATTTCTGACTCCTTCTGAACCATGACTGAGAACGTTGTCTGCCCAGCCTTGCAGATCGCTGCCCACATATTGGCTATTACTGGCCCGGATACTAGCAAGAATATGCAGCATGTTCCTCAGGAGTTGTTCGTTTTGGGCATACATAATAACTTGTTGAAGGTACTCCTGACCCAGCTGTAGGTCACTGACGCTTCGTGTCAACTCGTCTACCTTCTCGTCCAGCTCCCGGATCTGATCCTGTATTTCGTTCAGCTGTGCGGTCGTTTGTGCAGACTCGTAGCGGTCCATCGCGAATCCGACTATGCCAAGGATGTCTGTGAAAACGCCAAAGGCTGCCGCAGCCGTCGCAGCCGTTATAACCGCCCGCTAGAAACAAAAAAACTAATAAGCACCACGTCACGTATCGTGTTTGAGAGTCATTGCACGAGAAAATCAGGCAAAACAAGACAAAGTTCGAAAGATAAAGGTCGGCCAAAACGGCTTATACTTTATAAATATAATAGGCATTTAACTATGAACAACCATATGATTAAAACATTCCAGGTATTTTTTCGTTATAGAGTTGAAGGTATGAAGATGAAATATTGATTTTAGGAGGATGTGCTAGGGGGTTATTGGAACCAATTAAAGCAAAATTTTAATTTCTCTAACTTTTAGTCAATTTTAAGGGGTATCATATCACATGGGCAGTGGCTTTGGTGAATGTTTATACTGTAGCTGGAGAGAGTGACGTCTACTGGTTTAAAACTATCATCTAATCGGGGTCTTTATGGGGACTTTGGACGATGATAAATCAGGTAAAAATTAGATGACGCATCTCTGCGGGCTAAGCTATTGGTATTTTGTGTCTCCTTGTAAAGGCGTAAAACAATATCAAAAAAAATAATTTGGGCTCTTCATGGGCGACATGAGGGTACTTAAAATGGACTTAAGTTTTTTACGCGTTTTATTGTTCTCCAAGATGTAATTTGGCAAGTCCCTTAAAGTTATAAATCATCGTATGCATCCAATATGTAATACATAATTGAAAAAAAAAGTCTCTGCATGGGGTTATCAGAACTCCACACGCCATGAACCTCAATACATAAGCCATATTAGTGCTTCGTTCACATATGCGCACTTCACATGACGCACTTCGCACTTCCGAAAAGCTAAACCGTGAAGTTGACACCAGAATCGGTCAAGCTGCCAACCTCTTTGGAAAGCTGAAAAGTCGCGCTTGGGATAACAAGTATCTGACTATCCACACCAAGGTGCGAATATACCTAACTTGTGTTCTGTCCGCGCTGCTCTACGGTAGTGAAGCCTGGGCCTCTCACGCCCAGCTAGAAAGGAAACTTAACAGCTTTCACATGAGGTGTCTCAGGAAGATTTGTGGGGTCTCATGGTCTGATAAAGTTTCTAACCTGGAGATCCTCAAAAGATGCGGCACAACAAGTCTGTATCCTATCCTGAAGCAGCGCAGGTTACGCTGGTTGGGTCACGTGTCTCGCATGGACCACTCGCGTCTACCACACCAAGTACTGTATGGTCAGTTGGCAGATGGCAAGAGCGACAGAGGTCGCCCAAAGCTCCGCTTCATAGATGTCTGCAAGCGGGACCTGAAGCTTTTTCACATTGGTGCCAACTGGGAGCACCTTGCACAAAACCGCACTGCATGGCGGTATGCACTTCGCCAAGGTGCCAAGAAACTGGAAGATGACCTGGTCCAAAATGAGACCACAAGAAGGCAAAAAAGACACCATCCTTCTGCAACACCCGCTTTCACCTGCACAACCTGCGGGAAACTCTGCAGGAGTAAAGCTGGGCTGGCCGCACACGGACGAGTCCATCGACGTTGAGCAGAGCGTCTGCTAAGACGAAAAGGAGGAGGATGGGTGGACATATGCGCACTTCACATGACAATACAAAAATGGAAAAGACGTAAGGGATATGATGCAATTAAGCAATAAGAAGTGTATTAAGTTGAAATAATTATTCAAGCTCCGAAGCTAGGTAAGGAATCCAAAGCAATCTGTCTGACCTTGACAGTTTACTGCCATTTCTTATCACATTTTCATTAGAACCAGCCTGCGAAACAAAATAAGTGACTGTCGTATGGTGATATCATATGGTGATATAACTCTACGTTTTCGCCATCTAGAAATCTTTCTCAGAACATCGATTTTTCTATGCCTTGGGTATGTTTAGCCTTTGACCATATATCTTGATTCAAGTTATTAGTACGGTAATGATGGATTTAAAACTTTGTTAAATTTCTGAGTTTGTGTGTGGATATACTGTAGGAATGAGATAAGCAAACGATATGATTAATAAAATGACAAATCATATATACATACAATACAAATTTTATCTTTACTACATTTAAGCCTCAAGGCTCCACATACGTTAAAGCCTTAACCCTCAACAGTACACCTTCCCGGACTGATTAATCTGTACACCTGGGGTCCGCGCGGACCCCAGAACAGTTTTTTGCTAATTTTTAGAAATTATCAACATGCTACCAGCTCAATTGTTTTGCAAACTGATGTGGGAACCTCTGTGTCCACATTACATACAAAAATCATACATTTTGAACTTTTTCTATTTCTTGGTGAAGAAAAGAAGACACGAAGAAATACCCGATTTTCAAACCCATTTCAGACTGAAGGGGCTTTTGAGGCCCAACTTTGATCTCAGATAGCGGCTAAACGGCTTGCGCTAGAAGTATCAAATTTGGAGACCTTTCCTAAAATGTCTCTGGAAAAAAGTTCATATTAGTTTAATACTAGTAAGTTGATGATTTTTTTGTGTTGCCATGGCAACGGGCTATTTTTTTGAAAATAGAAGTAATTTTGGTTTAAACATAAAAATTTTCTGAGTTTTATATTAAATTACACTTCTTTTCCAACATTAATAACATCTCACATAATTAAATATAAGTTAAATAATTTAATATACATAGAATATGCTAATTTGATGACGTCATTGGTCAAAATCCAATATGGCGGACTATATTATTAGCTCCGACGTCATATGACGTCATAATTACACCAAAGTCATTAAAATTTAATTCTATTACTAAACCATTCTCTGAAAACTTGGTAGACATACGATGAGTGCATAAAAACATATAAAAACGGAAATAAGGTAATGTATAAGAATGCCAGTACAGTGTATCTATCCATTATGATCGAAAGCCGGCTGGGGTCCACGCGGACCCCAAAAGAAAATCAGATATAATTTTTTTATAAATGGTAGAAACGGAGTTTTCTGCACTGTATTGAGAGACAACTTTGTCGGTAACAATTACCTAAAATTTCAGAAAAAAATCTTTAGAAACAAAAAAGATATTACAGAATATATAGTGCTGGGGTCCGCGCGGACCCCAGGTGTACTGTTTAGGGTTAAACATTAAAGAGTTACAGCCTGAAGCCTTTTATATCAACAAAGCACGAGCCTATTAGGTCGACTCCCATCTTCCGACCTCTGCCTGGGTTTCTCGTGCAATGATTCTTTACAGCAAGGATTACGAGAAAGAGATGAACACATGGCCAACAAAAATGAGCCATTTCAGTATTTGACTCCTCAGTAGTAATGTAAGTACCTCTTGTCCTCCGATCACCTCATGAGCTGATCCTGAAATGCAACAACAGATCTGTCAGCATTCAATCATGTAGATGCAGAAAGATGTAGTCAGTCTTTGAATGGTTGCTATTAGGAGAAGAGTAGATGCCACCGGCACCCTTTGTTTTTATCGAGCAACAAAGCAAGTGTCAGGATGAAATGCATTTTAAGCAATTGTACAGCTAGCTAGTAAACATTTGACATACTTTCTACATTACCGTCAGTATAAATGATCGAAAAGTGGACTGGGCTGGCACATCTGATTCTGAAAAAGGATCACATTGGCATTTGGAGAAGTTAAATAAATGTGTGTTTTAACGACATCATGAATTAATGATACCTGTCAGTTCTCCTTTCAAAGAATCAACTTCACATCCCCAGAGGCCTTTGGAGTCAGGTTTAATCTGAGAACCAGGAAGACAGACAACAGGATAGCAGAGGCGGACTGATCCTCCACAGATACAGTTGTCGTGATCAGATGAGCCCCACTGTTCTCCTGACTGTGAAAAAACATTCAATTTCACTCTTTCAGCAAACAACTTAAAAACTTCCTGTAGTAAAGACAACTTGTAGTTTACATAAAGTATATCCAACAATGACAAGCTTACATTTTTCATAATAATTATACTTGAAGCGAATATAATGCTACTGGTATTTTAAAACTCACATTAGTGTTGAAAGTAAATAGTACCAGGTGCAGCACGCCAGGTCAACTTTGTGATATCTTAACCCAACTTTTTAACCTGCTTGCCATTTTCCCTTGATATTCCCAATTACCTTGTGGCCTTCACAATCTCCAGTTTTGACATCTTCAGCGACCCTGCGAAGGTCGAAAGCATCTTCGTCTGCAACGACAGGAGTCTCTGCATCGTCCTCAGGGCCAGGAGCATCTACTCCTGTGACAAACATTGTAAAATAACTGTATCAGTTTAGGCCATGTTGATTTGATTATATGGATGACATCCGCGCGCGCATGAATTTTCGGCCATTTCCAAAAAAAAAAAGTTTTCAACCACACTGTAAATCGTACAAAACAGTTGCAAAATGAGCAAAAATATACCATAAGTTACAAAAAAAATTAATAAAAACTATACCAATGTCGTAGAATGCCAAAATCAAACGAAAAAAGACGATATTGTAAAGAAATTAACTTGAAGACTAGATTATTCGCCAAACCATATTCTGTGCCATTTGCTCAACCCTCATGACCACGTAGATTTCATAATGATAAGAGCAAAACTTTTTTTTTATTCGCACGCGCGCATCAGTTTTGGGGCTCCCGGAGGATGTCATCCATATAATCAAATCAACATGGCCTTATGGCAACCCAATTGAAATCTAGCAGCGTCATTACTCATGACTAAATTTATGGTGAGTTCCATTCTTGTGCAAACTTTTACAACTAAGCATCATTACCCGTCATTAAAAGCAGACGAAAATTCTGAAGGGAATACAAGCAACAAATTGCCATAAACCACAAAGGTGTACGTGGCAAAACCAATAGGTTTACCAGCATGTTGCCTACATCATCACTACCATCATACCTTTAGGCCACACCAATTTAATTTCTTGGTTAACGGATTCGCACGCTTCATTTTTTCTGACTTCATTTTTCTGATTTCTGAGTTTTGCTTCTAAAACGCTCTTGTTTTGGCCCAAGTTGACAGTCGAAGACTGTCATTTTCTTCATAGTTGTTACAGTTATTATATATTTCAATGCAATCGTTCATTTGAAAAAAAAAAAATTGAAAACTCGTTGCTTTACTTATAAACCAGCCTGGTGTGTTGACTTCATGGCTACTACCGTACCTTTTTGGGTCATAATAGAATGCCTTGATCTGTTTTATTTTTATTTCTTGCGCCCTGTCTCTTCATAGTTTTAAAAAAAACACCAATAAATCACATTGTTTCGATTTTATGGACACAGGACATCTGGTACCAATTAACTTATTTTATTGGTAACAGTGAATTGCCCCCTTCCGTGGTTAGGGAACCACAGTTGGGGACAAACCATACTGTGGTTAGGGAACACCAGGATTTTTTCCCTGCCAAAATAGGGATTCTCTTTAGTTTGCTACCAGTCCCTCACCATTTCGATAATATCTGCAATGCAACTGAGCAATTGAGAAGTTAATAAACAATTACCAATGGCGTCCTCTGCAGATTCAACACGTATGGCGAAAATTCTAACTACAATCAATAGATCAAATGTGGCCGGGAGGAGTTGAATTTGCAAGATAGTTAGTGATCAATGCTTAATCTGTTCAATGAGTTGTACGTGCTTACAACGCACGATCTCTGTGCGATTGCTACGTTGCCGCGTACAGGCCTTACCTACACGTGCGGCGTACGCACGGTTTCCTTACTCACTCGCACGTTGTAAGTGCGTGCACCCCCTGTTAACTTCATCATCACTAGCCGCCCTGGTGTCTTCCGCGGCCCGTTTCTTTGGGTCTTTGTTGGTAATCTTCTTCTGAGCCTTCCTGGGCATCTTTGAGACGAGTTGGCAGTCGCCCGTCAAGTTGTCTTTATATACTGTAGAGATCAGGAGCACCTGGTATGGTGCACGTGTGTTCTGCGTGGTCATTGACCAGGTCAACTGGGAAGTTAGGAGTAAGCACGGAAGACGCAAGCACCGTGCGTGGCACGCACGTGCTTCGTGCGCTGTCCGTACAGCAATTGCATGTGAGAATAGTGAAGTTAGACTCACGGAGTCCGTACGTTGCACGCTCATAGGCTGTACGGGGCACGCGCGTCGCACGTACTCGCACGCACGGGTGGTAAATCCACAGACCGCACATAGAAAAAGTATGCACTTAAAGTTCTACGGCGTGTCTGCGTGCTCCCAAATCCGTAGGATTCCGTACGGAGGCGGTACTCACCACGCACGGATGCCCTACGATTGCCCACGTTTTTGCACGTAGACAGCACGCAGAAGCACGTACGGCGGGTTGTGACCGTCGCTTAACGTTTACAGGACTTTAGGGAATTATCTTTAAACAGATTTTTAACCCACTTCAAGATTGAAGCGAGGTTTAATTGCATGATTGAAGCTGTCTCTACTATATGTGTCTCTACTATGTGTGCAGATGGACAATCTTAACCCTTAACAGTATACCTTCCCGGACTGATTAATCTGTACACCTGGGGTCCGCGCGGACCCCAGACCAGTTTTTTGCTGATTTTTTAAAAATTATTAACATGCTACCAGTTAAATTGTTTTTCAAATTGATGTGTAAACCTCTGACTCCACATTACGTACAAAAATTATACATTTTGACCTTTTCCTTTTTTTTGTGAAGAAAAGACAAAAAGGGGAAAAACACGGTTTTTAAACACTATTCAGATTGAGTGGTCTTTTGAGGCCCGCGTCAACTTTAATCTCAAATAGCGCCTAAACGGCTTAAGCTAGAACAATGAAATTTGGTGAGCTTTCCTAAAATGTATCTGGAAAAAATTTCATTTTGGTTAAATAAGTAAGTGATTTTTTGTGTTGCCATGGCAACGGGTTTCTGACAGTTTCTTTGGAAAAATCAGTAATTTTGGTTTAAACATGAAAATGTTCTGACTTTTATATTAAATAACACTTCCTTTCTAAAATTAATAACATCTTACATAATTAGAGGTAAGTTAAATCATTTAATATTCATAATATATGCTAATTTGATAACGTAATTGGTCCAAATCCAAGATAGCGGACCATATTATTAGCTCTGATTTCATATGACATCATAATTACACCAAAGTTGTTAGAATTTAATTCTATTAGTACACCATTGTCTAAAAATTTGGTGGCTATACGATAAGTGCATAAAAGCATATAAAAACGGAAATAAAGTAATGTATAAGAACGTCACTGAATCCATTACGATCGAAAGCCGGCTGGCGTCCGCGCGGACTCCAAAAGAAAATCAGATATAAAAATTTTTAAAAACGGGGGAAACTGGGTTTTCTGCACTGTATTGATGGACAACTTTATGGGTAACAATTACCTGAAATTTCAGAAAAGAATCTTTAGGAACAAAAATAGATATTACAGCATATATAGGTGTACTGTTTAGGGTTAAGAAAAACCATGAATTTTACCTTGCAGTATCTGAAGAAGGCTCTCCTCCAGCTTGCTCGTTTCTCCGCCATTCTTACTGTCGCTTGCTACAGTGTCGCCAGCTATTACGGTGTGGAGACAATGAGTACAAAATCTAGCTGGGTTACATATAGTTTCGCAATTTATGTACTTGTATGTACGACTAGGCCAAGCTATATGTATATAGGATATATTTGAGAAAAGTTGACCCGAAGTGTAAATAGTTTGAATCCACTGATACCCAATGGATTTATCATAAAATATAATGTCCCAATAAATTAATACTACATATTGCACGGAAGAGAGGTTGTAGAAAATGAAAATGTATTAGATTGTTACAGTTCAGGTAGCACCCACTACCTTTTGTCAGTGCGACTGGAGAGTTGCCAGAAAAGCACGTTTATACGCACCATCTATATCTAAAAAATTGTCTTCACTGATTTGCATATCGATCAATAGTTCCTGCTTATTAAAATGCCAACGAGATTTTCAAGGCCACTGACAACCCTGGCACAATATGTTCACTAGTTGCTACAAACTCACGGCGGTCTGTCACTACGGCATTCTTTCCCATTGCTATGCGCGTTTAAAAATTTATCGGGTTACAAGACGCTATTTTGGCCTGTTTTGGACTACCCGTAAAACATTTGAAAAGAAACAAGTAGTATTTAGTGGTCAATTTTGTCAAATTAAAATAAAATTATCGTCCTAACATCCTTTAAATGTTAGCTTTTTATGTTAAATCACTGTTTTTTAAAAATTTCGCTCAGAAAGACGATTATTTTCGGGTTTCCGAGCACAAGTCATGTCACGTTTTTAGGCATACCTCGTTCAAACCTGGCTACGCATATTACCCAAGATCCTCGATTTTTATGTTTTTCGCTGACTAGGAATAAGGTCAAAAATCATGTTTTAGGGATTTTTTCTTCTAGTTCTTCAAAAATCCCTAAAACACGATTTTCGGGACAACCGTGACAGTAATTTTGAGCCGTAAATGGGGTATGTTTGACTCTCCATGCTTCCAGGTTTGAACGAGTTTTGCAGACATGTCATATCGCCCGAAAGTCTGCATTGTGTTATTCGTACAGGTGTTAAGAACCATTACAGTATTTAAGGTCACCTAAGGATAAGACAGTAGCTTCGCTAGAAGTTACATACCCACCAAAAATGAAAGTGGACATGTACTGTGCAGGAAACTGTTTGTATCTATAGAAAATGTTTTTTTTTTTTATCTGTTGCGAGGCAGTCAGGAAGAAAGGCTTGTTTTGCCGCTTTATTGTAAATGACCGCAAGTGACCCCGAAATGGAACGCGGGTTCGATTCGAATTGCCCAGATCGAACACGATCGAATACAGTTCGGATTCTATGACATGTGGGAACTTTGCAGCCCAGATTTTACCACCGTAACTACATCAAAGCCTTTGATCGTGCAATACCATTGTCATTAATCGTCTGTTAGATCTAAGCCATAGACCCTGCCTTGTGAGGTGGATAGCCAACTTTCTGATAAACAGGCGCCAGACGGTCCGGTACCATGGAACTCTTTCTGACAATGTCACCGTTTCTTGTGGCCTACCTCAGGATACGCTACTTGGCCCGTTGATATCCATCGCTTAGATCAACGGTGCAGCTCGCCAAGCTGCCTGTAAGAGATTGAGGTTTGTCGACGACCTGAATCTATTTGAATCCCATCACCGTCTAACAGTCATAAGGATCTGAATGACCTGGTGAACTGGTCTAATGACTTCCAAAAAAATTATCCCGCTAACTGTTAAGTCTTACACATCCTCTTCAACAATATGCCGTATGCAACCCCTCCCCTTTCAATAAACTGTATCGAACTACAACAGGTGCAGGGAATGAAGATCTTGGGCGTTTTTGTCCAGGCCAACTTGCGATGGAACTCCCACGTCGACTCCATTTGTTGTGAATTCAGCCAGTGCCTGTTCCTAATTCGTAAACTGGAACACTTTTACATCTCTCGGTTGGGATAAGGCGGCCTAGGCTGATATTCATGTTCGAGTTCGGGCGTGTGTCTGCACGATGGCCACAGACTTGTTTCGAACCCTAATCATATTCCACCATGTTCGATATGACGTCATTCGAATAGAACGCGTGTTCGAATTCGGGGTTGCCGGCGGTCATTTGTATGTTCCCCCTGTAAACCAGCGTTGTTACGCATTTTATTCACGGACTATGACCTAAACGGCTTTAGGCGCAGCTGAAAACAACATAATTGATCTTTAGAGTAATCCATGTTTACGTATTATCACTTTCTTATTAAATTTGTCCGGGGCTATGTTGCATAAATTTGGATGATTTCTTACTGGGGCAATTTTTCAAACCAAAATACTCAAAAGACAAAATACTCATTTTAAACAAAATAGCCTCGGACAGAAATAACCATATGGGGTTGGTTTTCATCTTGTAAAATATAACGATGGAAGGTGTTATTACCGCCTGCGCGTAAATTCATGAAATAAACGGCTATTTTTAAGCAAAACCCAGGTGTAGATATACTGAAGTACCTTCATTCAATGCGTTTAAAGTACAACTAAAACTGTGAGACGTTTCGTTTCGTTGCGATGCGACCAAGCTATCAAAAGTTACAAGCATATTGTATAGAATACTACTTTTCAATACGCCTATGCTGCCTAAACCAAACCGAGCTCCTCAGAGGACCTTGTTACAGTGTATGTGTCCTATATACGCCAAGTTCTCGCGAACGCTGTCCCCGTCTGGCACTCTGGACTTACCACTGAGCTTAGCAACAAGATCGAGAAGGTTAAAAGGAGAGCGATGCACATAATACTGGGTGCGAAGTACACATCCTGCACTAAGGGCTGCTCCTACCTTGGACTACCTACTCTTCAGTCACGGTGTCTTCATCTAAGAACTTTGCAAACTCTCTTCGCCGGTCTAAACAGCTCCGTCATTTTCTGCCACATGTTACAGGTCCAATAAGTGGTCGTCAAACCAGACCATCTTATAAACTGAACACTCCCTAAAGCAGAACTGATCATAATAGTGCTGTACCCTTTATCATCCGTCTGTTTAAACACTGACACATTTTCCTATATATATATATATATATATATATATATATATATATATATCTTTAAGGCATTTTCATTGATACCATTATGTTGGTCTGTATGCTTACCTGAAACGATGTCAACATACGCTTGGAAACGATTGTTGGTTTTACATGTATGCCAATGTAATGCTATGTTAACTATTTTGATGGCTAGACACGATGTTCAAATTTTGGTCCAAGTATTCCGACCTTTTTTCGAATCAAATTATGTTCTATATGACGTCATTCGAACAGAATCATGTTCGATATGACGTCAATCGAACCGAAAGTTCGTTCGATCCGGGGTCACTCGCGGTCATGCACAGTAAACCTGCGGCTTCAAGCCCGTTTATACACGGGTACCGCCTAACAGTAAAAAATCCACTTTTTCACAAATATAAACCGATTTCGGGGTATATCTATACCCTGTTTTACAGTGGATATGTAACATGTAACGAAGCTACTGCCGTCATCGTGTGTGACCTTAACGATTGTAATTGTTTTTTTACAAGTATATAAGTTACCCCTGCACTTACTCACACGACCTGTCATGCGTACAAACATGGTATTTAAACCGCAACAATAACAAATAAAATTTACCTCAAAAACGTTTTAAAATTGTATGCAAGACAAAAATCTCGATCTGTGTCGGACAGATTCTTTCAAGATGGCGGCATTCTGGAATTACCGGTCTTGGAAGTTTAAAAAAAACGCATTTTTTTTTCGAATTTTTCGACCTTAGCAACAATTTACCTTTGAAATTAATAAAACTGTCCAACTCAAATCTTAATTTTGTTATACTGTTCTTTAAAAACCAAAAATGTGGGATTTTCTGGGATATTGAAATCAGTTGTTTGGTTATTGACGTCGATTGCTCCAGAATAAACATTCGACGCGTTGAGAATTATGTTACACACATTTAAGCATTGTAATAAAAACAACATTTCAGGTATATGCAGTGCTGATTTTATCACAGTTGGACAAGAGAATCCCCGTAAACTGTTTATTATTGTTTTAACAAAAATATCTACCGTTAAGACTGGCTCCACGGAAGCCGCGCGTGGAACCCCGGTAACCTGATACCCCTCCGTAGAATTGGAAACTTTACCCTAGAAATGGACCACCGTGAGAATGGCGTGTTGTGCTATTAATGCTATGGTATGTTGTTTTACTGTGATGTCCCGATACCATTTCAGCCTTTGGGTGGCCATCTTTCATTCAAATCTTTGCAAAGATGCGAATAAACCATTGATATGCTTTCCCGACAACTCTCCAGTGCTACCTAAAACATCTGACCGTTTTCAAAATTATTCACATGGGATACATAAAAGGACTGTCATGATAACTACCTGTGAGTTTCTGGAGATCATAAAGGAGATCCTCTAACGTCTCTTCAACTTGTTGCTTGTCCACGGCAGTAGCTGCTGTTTGCGGAGGGCAATTATAAGATTATATATATGCTTGTTCTATCTAGTGATTCTTGTCCCATTGATGAAACCTTTGGTACATCGACGCAATGCTGTTATTCCTGGAGGCATTTTGGTGCTTGCATGGAATCTAGAGGGTAGCCATATATAGTAGTCTGTTGGTAGTTTTTCTCTCTTTTTAAGTGTTAGCTATATCATTAGGTAAAATTGTTAGTACTTTGAACTCTACTTTTATACTATATGGCTGTTGTTAAAAACAAACTGCTGTTAACGGTACTACGATTTGCAACAGTTTTAAGAATTCTGCACATATCTCCCATTTAACGGCATTGTGGGATGTAAACAGTTGCCATTATGAAAACTGATAGTTTTTTTTTTAATTTAGAAATATTCAATTTGCTAAGATCTACAGGATGAAAAATGAAGTTTCTTCACAGTAAAAAAATTCTTTGTGCCTATTGTTTTATCTTTTCAGAGTCCTTACCATGTTGAACCTATCTGGACAACACTGAACGTTTTTAGCACTTAACAACAGGGACGTTTTTCTCTGTTGATATAAGAGAGGTGTAGAGTGTATGAAACTTGCCTGAGCAGGTAGCTGGAAGGAGAAGCACACATCCAAGCAGAATGACACCGAGTACCCTCATGATGGGTCTTCTCTCTGAAACAGAGCAAATCAACACTGCTTGTCAACGTTTTCTGTGACTATGTTTGACTATCCAGTCTTTTTTATCATGGTTGGTAGACTGAGAAATGCATAATACCCTGTAAAATGTTAGACCAGGGGTCGTTAGTTTTGTGTAATTATTTTTTGGGTATTTGGAATCAACTTGTCCGAGGCTAGTTTTGGGGGTTTCTGGTGCCGTTGCGCCCACCTCCGACAGGATGTTTTCTATTAATAGATAACAAGAAGCCATAGGTGACAACCCTCCGTGAAGTTTCATATATTGCAACAAAGAGAAGTAGCCATTGGCGACAATTCTCTGTGAAGTGTGATAATTTCTGATTGGAAGCGTGTTCTGACCCTGGTGTTACTTTAGTACCTTGCTAGTTCGCTGGCTGTATTTTTCTGTTGTTGTCTTGTCAATGGTGTTGCCGGGGGGGGGGTGTCATTAACCTTCGGCCGAAAGCATGATTGCCCCAGTACATCACGTATTTTGGTTTGGCTACTGGAATGTGCGAAAAAATGACTCCAGGGCTGTCTACAAGGAACACTCGCATAATGCCCAACATTCGCGGTGTATCAGGACAGCGCGACTGGCCAAGCCACAACCAGTCGGCATTAGCGCAGTCCCTGCAATTAGTAACAGTTGCACATCAATGAACACTTGCATCACAGCCCGCATTTCCTGTATCAATCATCCGCAACTGGTCATAATATAAAACAGCCATATCACCAGTTACCGCTTATGTCTACTAGTAGAAAGACAACAGAACAGGCACGGCTAATACAAAAATGGCGCGTCACACACATAAAACGTGTTTTCGAGCTTGCTTCTTCCTTAAGCCTGACTTTCCGCCGAAGTTGCCAGGGTGGGGGTCATTAGCCTCCGGTCGAAATCATGATTGTATAACACAGGCTACTTCTTCCTATACCGACTCTTACTACAAGACGCACTTACAACTAGCAAATCATACAATTATCCGATCTATGTGCGGTTTACCAGCCCAAAACGACATCCGACCACGAGGCAGAACACATTCATAGGTTGCTCAAAAATATTGGCCATGTTTACAGGAGAGCTGCTTGTAATGTTGACTTCTGACCACCCCACATTTCCGTCCCCATCAGCCTGACCGACTTACAACCGGTCACATAACATTTCAACGACATGGGGATGTTTCAAAAATAAGCATTTACTCCAATATCAAAACAGCTACGGTAAAAATAAAAAGACGTGCATCATCGCGGACATAATGCCACACCACATGCGACATTACACAGAAATGCGATGTACGGAAGAATGCGTCTTGACTGCGAATATCTTCCAAAAAAACTTGCCATCTCTTAAGCACGGGCAAAAACATCTGGAACCACTTATCAGAACCTCACCGTATCTGCATGAAGTTCCAGCCCCCACTGCTATTCCAAACATCGCGTTTTTCTGGACCATTCCAATTCGCCTCGTAATTGTAGGGGTGCGTCTGCAATATTACATTGACCGCAAAAGCAGCAACGGCAAAAATACACATTTGTGCATCAACACGGGCATGCCCGCAGACGGCGTATAAAATTGCGTGCCGATTACACAAAGAGAACCCAGTGTTTTGACTGCGAACACGAAAAATCAGCTCTTCACAACACTCCGTCCGGAGGTCCTGACCTCCTTCACGGAGTAACAAGACACTAATAAAGGAATGATATTTACCTTCGCCAAGAAGGTTATGTTTTTAGAGGCGCTCGTGTGTGTGTCTGTGTGTCGGTCTGTAAACACGATAACTCAAGAAGCCTTAAATTGATCGTCTTCATACTTTGTAGGTGGGTAGGTCTTGATGAGATCTCGAAATGATTGTGTTTTAATTGTTATTATCATAGATGTATTCCCAAGCGATCGCCCGAGCCTCGCACAATGTGACCGCGACGATTTTCAAGCCAAAAATACGCGCGATCGTCGGTCGATCTCAAAATCGGCCGATCTTTCGGCGATTGACAAATACGGCCAAAGCTCGTCGACAATGTGACGGGGGTATAAGGACACAGGTATGGTAAATGGTGGGATCAATTGTGACTCCGAGCACAGTGTGCACGAAATATAATCTACGAGCAGAACTTTTTTGTGGCTGCCAAGACAGTAATATAGTAATATTGGCCAGACGGTTACTATTTCGCCACCAACAGTCTGTCCTATGAATACGGCCTGGGCAATTCGATTCTGTCTTTGCAGCCACCAAAAGATCTGCTTGGAGATTACAAGAAAGACTGTTTAAACAGCAGACTGAATACGGGGCATTGCACTTTCTGCTAAAAAGTGTTGTATATTACTAAACCGGTAACTGCAGAATAGGGTACACATTATGCTTTAACCCTAAACAGAACACCTTCCCGGACTGATTAATCCGTACACCTGGGGTCCGCGCGGACCCCAGAACAGTTTTTGCTAATTTTTAGAAATTATCAACATGCTACCAGCTCAATTGTTTTGCAAACTGATGTGGGAACCTCTGTGTCCACATTACATACAAAAATCATACATTTTGAACTTTTTCTATTTTTTGGTGAAGAAAAGAAGACAAGAAGAAATACCCGATTTTTAAACCCATTTCAGACTGAAGGGGCTTTTGAGGCCCAAATTTGATCTCAGAGAGCGGCTAAACGGCTTGCGCTAGAAGTATCAAATTTGGAGACCTTTCCTAAAATGTCTCTGGGAAAAAGTTCATATTAGTTTAATACTAGTAAGTTGATGTTTTTTGTGTTGCCATGGCAACGGGTTTCTAGCAGGCAGTTTTTTTTTTAAATTAGAAGTAATTTTGGTTTAAACATAAAAAATTTCTGAGTTTTATATTAAATTACACTTCTTTTCGAACATCAATAACATCTTACCTAATTCAATGTAAGTTAAATCATTTAATATGCATAGAATATGCTAATTTGATGACGTCATTGGTCAAAATCCAATATGGCGGACTATATTATTAGCTCTGACGTCATATGACGTTATAATTACACCAAAGTTATTAAAATTCAATTCTATTACTACATCATTCTCTGAAAACTCGGTAGACATACGATGAGTGCATAGAAACATATAAAAACGGGAATAAGGTAATGTATAAGAACGCCAGTGTATTCATTATGATCGAAAGCCGGCTGGGGTCCGCGCGGACCCCAAAAGAAAATCAGATATATTTTTTTACAAATGGTAGAAACGGAGTTTTCTGCACTGTATTGAGAGACAACTTTGTGGGTGACAATAACCTACAATTTCAGAAAAAAATTTTTAGAAACAAAAAAAATATTACACAATATATAGTGCTGGGGTCCGCGCGAACCCCAGGTGTACTGCTTAGGGTTAAACGTTTAAGAAACTTGATTTAATAAGCAACAGCTGGCAGAGAAGATAAGTCCAGGTTTAGCATTCATGCTGTTCAAGTATTGAAAGGCAGGCTTTTTGGCTCAATCGTTTAAATACATGTATTTTACTTTTTTTTTAAATGTTTTTTTTTCGGCTCAGATGACGGAATCATATTTTGACAACAAAGTACATCTCCAATATACTAGTAAGTCAATCAGACTACATCCAAAAAAAGTGGTTTCGTGAAAATCGGAAGTTAAAAATGTTTTTCTCGGCTCACACGCCAAAATGATACTTTAACAATGAACATCTCTGACATAAGTCAATTGGGCCGCATCCAAAAAGGTGGTCTCGTGAAAATCTGGCATCGTTTAGCAATTTTGTTCATTTCGACGCGAAAAATTCTTTTCTGAGCTCACACGCCCAAAGATTTGGGAACGGGTTAAATCAGTTGTTTGGTTATTGACGTCGATTGTTCTAGAATAAGCATTCGGCGCGTTAAGAGTGATGTCACACACATTTAAGCATTGTAATACAACCAACAACGTTTTAGGTATATGCGGTGCTCGGTTGGGTTAAGGCAGCCTAAGCTGATATTCATATTCGAGTTCGGGCGTGTGTCTGCACGATTGCCACATACATGTTTCGAACCCGAATCATGTTCCACCATGTTCGATATGACGTCATTCGAATAGAACGCGTATTCGAATTCGGGGTTACCGGCGGTCATTTGTATGTTTCCCCTGTAAACCCGCGTTGTTACGCATTTTGTTCACGAGTATGACTTAAATGGCTTTACGCGCAGCTGAAAACAGCATAATTGATCTTTAGAGTAATCCAGGTTTACGTATTATCACTTTTTTATCAAAATTGTCCGAGGCTATTTTGCATATAAGTCGATATTTTTTAACTGTGGCGATTTTTTAACGAAAAATGACAGAAAAATAGCTGTTTCTGTCGTTTTTGGCCCAAAAAAACAATGTAACTGTCATTCAAAACAAAATAGCCTCGGACAAAAATAATAAATAGGAGGTTGGCTTTCTACTTGTAAAATATCATGATGAAAGGTGTTGTTACCGCTTGCGCGTAAAGCCATGAAGTAAACAGCTTTTTTTAACCAAAATGTTGATTTTTAACCCAAAAATCCAGAAGTAGTAAAAACAAAATAACCTTAATTTCATGTGTTTCAAGTACTACTAGAAATGTGTGAAGTTTAGTTGTGGTGCGACCAAGCTACCAAAGTTACAGGCATATGTATGAAATACTACTCATAGTATGCCATAGGCTGCCTTAACCCAACCGAGTGCGGATTTTATCATATTTAGACAAGAGAGTCCCCGTGAAATTGTTTATTATTGTTTATAAAAGATTTACTGGCTCCACAGAAGCCGCGCGATGAACCCCGGTAACCTGATACTACTCCGTAGAATTGGAAACTTTACCCTAGAAATTGATCGCCGTGGAATGTCCCTTTCTTCCTAGTTCTTAAAGTTTTCAATGTAACAATGCAATTTTGTTTCATTAAAAGTTCATTAGGCCACACCGATTTAATTTCTTGGTTAACAGATTTTTCTAGAAAAATAATGGAGCGGGCGGGCGAAAAAAAATAAAAACAGGCTTAGGCATCCTATTATAACCAAAAATGGTA